CGAGCTCAAAAAGTGTGTTCGTGTTCGGCTCATTTACTTAACAAGTCAAACCTGAGCAGTTCACGAACAAAGAGTTTTTTTAACAACTCTAATCATGTAGTCATAAGACAATAGGGGTTTGAGCAAGATTTAAAAATTATTATTTATATTAAACCATCATTTGAATATAATTTAATAGTTTTTATTCTATTTTCTTAATCAATATTTTAATTGGTTATAAATCTTTGTAGCCTTGTAGTCAATTAGATTTTTTTAAAATACTACTTAATATATACTTAATATATATATATATATATATATAAACTTGATGAGTAATATTTCGAGCCGAACACGAAATATTTCGAGCCAAAGCGAGCCGAACACGAACGAACACATCTTAGTTCGTGTTCGGCTCGTTAACTTATCGAACGAAATTAACGAGCCGAGCACAAGCTACTTAGCAAGTCGAACACGAGTTGTTCGCGAACAACGAGCCATTTTGACAGCTCTATATACAACTATCATTATTTTCTAATGATACTTACAAAATATACATTTTTCATCACGATCATAAGTTGCATTTTGAATATTACAAAATGAAAGTCTATCAATAACTATCATCACCTCACTCCAATTGAGTCTTTACCTTCCTTAAAAACATGTAAATGTGAAATGAATGAACACATATTTAGGGTTATAAATGAGTCGAGTCTTGCTCGAGTACTCTCAATTAAAGCTTGAGCTTGAACAGGATTAATTAATCGAGTTCAAGCTCAAACTCGAGCTTAAGTCAACGAGTATGAGCTGACACATGAGCCGGCTTATTTATTATAAAAGAAGAAAAAAAATATTAGTTAAAGCTAGTATTACAATAAAATGAGCATTATCAAAGAAATACAAAAAATTATTTTTAAATATTTTTTAATAATTAAAGCATTGAAATTTAATTTTTTTAATATATTTTATATTAATAAAATTGTAAACATGTCGGCTCACAAGCTAACGAGTCGAGTCAGGACTAATTTGAGCTCAGCTTGTTAGCTCATCGAGCTCAGCTCATGAGTCACTTATCCAGCCAGGCCCATGCGTACTCACTTACACCCTTAGTAGGTTATATAACATCTACAACTAAAATTAATGCATGGAAATTGAAAATTGTGCACGATTATTATTATAAGCATTTCATATATGTTAAACAATTAAGTTTCTATGTCACTGAACATGAATAGGTATACCATAAAAACATAAATCATAGTTATATTAGTGTGCACAAATCATATCATCAATTATGTTTATCATCACATATATTATATAAGTCCGGTGCTCTACCTAATCAATCATATGTATTATTTGCTCTATATCAATCATAATAACACAAATATAGTATCATGTCATTTCATATCATATCAGTAAGAACGATCAATCATATGGTATCACATACAGAAGTCATCACCCCTAGTTTGTTGACACTCATTTCATATCACATCATATTTACATAATTTTCAGTCATATATCATGTTCATACCACAATCCCCTTTAAAATGAAAGCCCATCAACCCATCTTTTGAGGCAGGGTAATACACATTTGTTAGCATGAATCTTAATAACCAACACTTCTTGGGTGTATACAAGTATAGTGTGTGTGTGTATAGCTTACAAGTAAAATAAACTAGTGAAGTCCATAACATAAAAGAGTGAGAGTCAAATCATATGCACCAATAAAAACAAAAATTTCACATTAAGTCTTCATGTGGTTATATTTGTGTCAAAATATACAATTTTAATTATATTTTGATAAAATTTTATATAACAAATTAGAAAATGTGACTCAAACACAAATATATCTGATGAAAATTTAATATGCTTACGTCGAAATGTGTAGCGGTCTAAGTTAATAATATATTAAAAATTACATGATAAAGTTTTTCAAAATATGAAACTATTTCATTTTTTGCAAATTTTGGATAAATAAAAATTTAGAAAACAAGGGAAAAATCAATGAAATCACTAGTAGTGTAATGATAATGTATCTTGGGTTGGTTCAATTTCCTAAACTCACATGTCGAACGAAAATAGAGCAGATTCTCCCAAAAATCTCTTCTTTTCCTTTGTCCCTCTCTTTCTCTCTTTTTTCACCTAAATGCTCTCACGGGTAGGAAATGGGAAAGCCATGTGAAGCTTATGAATGAATTGATTTAGTGAAGTTTTCATAAAAAGGGGTGTCATGTGTATATGTAAATATATGAATTGTTTAGTTTAAGCTATAAAGCTTATATAATCTCCTAATATCCTGAAATGTGAAGTTAAAAAATTATGAAAAAATAGTTATAAAATAGGTTATCATGTCTAGAATACTTTGGTGAAAATAGTTTGCACAACGAATGTCAAACGACTCTAATAATAATAAAAAAGCTTATATTCATAGATATATTTTTTAAAAGGAATTACAATTGTACCATTAATCTTCTATTTTCATCTTTTTAACTCTATAAAAATACTGACAATTCATATTATTTGGAGTTCATCATTTTATATATTGTGGTAAAGACTATTTGTAAATCGGGCTCATAACGATCTCATCTAAATTAATTAAATTTTATAGATTAAATTTTTCTCTTATTCCTGCATGCATCTTTACTTTCGGTCATCATCCAAATAGTAGTCTATTGGCTTGCTCCTTATGCTATTCCTCTTTAATTTCTCATGAAATTAAAACTCCCTAAAATCTAGCCCCAATGAGCATATTAAATTCAACAATATCAAATATTTTGTTCTTGCCTCAAATATTGAACACCATAAATTATCTTTCAATCTCATCACTATCAACAATCATGAGTACGTTTAATGGAGTAAGTCTCTAGATAACTACAGTTTAAATGTTTTAAGAACATGACAAAAAGTTGTATGATGCCTCTATGAATGTATGATTATGATAGAGATTTTCATATAAAAATAAATAAATAATTTAAACTAATTAACCTCATATAAAATTTTGAGGGTAAGAGAAATTTATGGATCAAATTATTTTAATGCTTAGAACACAATCAAATTATACAAACTTTGTTCAAATATTTGAATAATGTTGAATCACGGTCAAATCATTTTTCAATTATTCGTGAATATTATTCAAGTATTAGTTGCATATTACTGAAATAATATGTGAACATTACTCAAATCATATTTAAATTTTTGTCCAACAATACATAAACTATGTTTAAACAAACATCAAATCGTGTTTAAATCATGGTATATGATAATGAGCACTATCTTTGAACATTTTTAAGGCATGTTCAAGCTTTGATCATATTTTATTTAAACTCTATTATTATCATATTCACACGGTATTTAAATTTTATTCAAATTTTAAGTGAACATCATTCCAAACATGTTTAATTTTTATTCAAGGAAAATTTTAACATTTTTCTAAGCTCATTTAAAACAACTTTGAACTATGACATATATAATCAGCTATTGTCATTACAGACAAGTCAGCCCTATCCAAACTTCCCTCCCTCAATCACCAACTTTGCTTCGCTCGCTCATCTTAGTGTCGTACATATTTCTATTTGGTCCTGAATACCTTTTTTTTTTTTTCACACACATGTATCCTATTATGTCTTCATTCTATTGTGTATTCATCTCCTTCATATTATCAGTCCCATTCATGTCTTTTCATCATGCTTTGTTACAAGAACCTCGCCAAGCAAACTCGGTTCAGACATTTAATTTGAATGACTTTTCAAGTGCAATAAACAATTGAACAGATGGTGTAAGACTGATTTGGTTTGAAATGTGCTCTCATACATATTTCTCTAAATAAATAAATTGTAGAAATATTGTCCAATAATGTATATTATTAGAAATAAATACTAAATTTTCCAAAATACAGACAATTTAATAACATACCACAATTCTTTAATATTTATATATCTATCACTTAAACCTTCATATTTACATGCATGGAACTAAAATCATTAATCTTACATGAAA